ATGGTATAATTCACCTATAAGAAATGGAGAATGATCCCTCTCTGCTTGCAATAATCGACCATGGCAGCAGAATAAATACCGAATATTATCGCGAAAATATTCTGGAGGGTGTATTAAAGCTTTGGGCACGCAAACATTTTGGCCGCAGACCTTAGACATTCCAACAGAACTCAGCAACATCGCACTCAGCACGCGCCAGCCAAGAATGGTTACAAAATGATGTTCCTCGCTTCATTTCGCAGCGCATAATGGCCACCAAAATCTCCGGATACCAATCCGTTAGACTATTGTGTCTGTAGTATTTTGGAAAGCAAGGTTGGCACTACAAAATACCAAAGTGTCGAACACCTCAAGCAAGCGCCTCGCCGGAAATGGGCCACAATACCGCAGAGCAACATTCGGGCAGCGTGTGACGGCTTCATTGGCCATTTGAAGGCCATAATTCGTGTCAAATGTGACCAAATCGAACAAATCTTATTCTAAAATTTGATGCTATTTCCGACATTTTTTGCTTTCATTCAATAAAATTTAAAAAAAGGAAATATTATGGCGTCTGACTTTGTTTCGGGTTTTTATCTCACCCTGTAATCCAAATGTAGTGATTTGAAAACGCACAATAAACTATCCACCCAATGCCAATAAATCTAAAAACAATGTAACCAATGCAGGACACCAAAAAAAACAGAATAGAATGCAAATGCAGACATTTCGTATTCCCACTTCACGAGTATTGGCATGTATTTTCAGATCGAAAACATGCTGATAATATTCAATGTGGTGAGAAGTATTTGAGATAATTTCAAAACAAAACACAAAAAGAAACTACAGAATACAGATGTCAGGATTGAGAATGAGCGAATAGCTGGGAAAAAACAACAGAAACAGGATAACACAAAGTGCATTGGGATGATTGCCAATTCAAATGCGATTTTCAAAGATTAAAATGACGAAGAAAAAACTGTTGGATTTCAAAACAAGGGAAAACCAAAAAAAAAAGTTGAAGCCAAAAGAAAAGTGCAGACACTTTACTTGTCACTTGATTTGTCTGGGAGAGAAAGCCGAAGTGAAGTTGGCTAAATGTATGTATCATTCATCTCAAGAGTAGTCGTGATGGAAGCGTGAAAAAGCTACAATAAAAACATCATCGTTGGACGGGACAGTAAAAATGAATGAAAATAGGAGAAAATGGTACGACTAAAAAATTTTGTGTCATCTCAAGATGAAATGTTTCTCTATATTTTTATGTCTCTCTTCTGCATTATTGGAAGGTTAAAAATGACTAATTTTCCTCATTATCATGTAATGTGTAACGTCGGAACAGTGTGGGAAACCCGACTACAAAACCGTAGGTCGTGAGTTCGAGGCTCGAAGAAGAACATAAAAAAATCATTTTTGGTGTAAATGAAAGACTTTAAACATATGAGAACCCAAGACTCTTTTAGCAGCATAGATGTCTAATAAGTTTTAAGATGACATAAAACTTTAAAACCGCTTTTATATGCCTTGGAGACTTATGGGTCTTATAAAAGCCATTGAGGATCAAATTTTTTACCAAGCACTCTCCCTAGAAGGCCAAACGGTTAAAAAAAGGTCAAAAGAATGTTTTCGATGGTAGATACAAAAAAGGCCTTTGAAATCCCAACGGTCAAAGTCTACTTCGATGCATTAAAAGGTCAATTGGTATTTCAGAAATAGGTCACATTTTCTACCAGTCACCACAGAAAGTCAAAGGTTCCTTAAATGGTCGAAGGGTTTTATAAAGGTCATGGATGGTATATTGGTTTTCTTGATGCCGTAAAAGTCCAAAAGGGTTTTTGAAATGTCTAAGAAGATCGAAAGGCCACGTTGATGGTATAGAAGGTCAATTGGTATTCTGGAAATGGTAGTACCATATGAACTTCTAGAGGCTCAAGAATTTTAGAGACCATTGACGATCAAAGGATTCTCTAGATGACACACGAGGTTAATTGGACTTAAAAATGTTCCAGAGGGCCACTAGGAGGCAGAGGACTTTTCTAAATGTCATAGAAGATTAAATGGTCTTATAGATTCCACAGAAAGCCAAAGTGCCTTGAAGTTGCCATAAAAGGTCGATTGGACATCTCGATGTCTTAGAAGGTCAATTATTCGATTGGATGTCATACAAGGTTCTTGTTCCAGAAGGTCAGTGGGTCTTTCACAGGCCATGAAAGGTGGTAGGTTCTTTTGAAAGTCAAGTGGACTTCTAGATTCCGCAAAAGGCAAAAGTGTCTTCTGTCTGAATGGGGTTTCCAAACAGACCATTGATGTCGTAAAAAAGAGTAGATAAGGGACGTACGCAGAAATGTTTTTCGAATTCCTTTCCAATGTAAGGATCCAACTTTATAATAAAAGCAACCTTTTTGAAGGGTTTCCCGAACCCTAGTGACTTCACCCCTTATCTTGCATTCTACCGTATAAGTAAACGTATAGATGTTATAGGATGTAAAATTTAATTCTAATTCTCATAGAAGGCTAAGGCTTTCCTGATTAACCTGGATATTAGACCAGAAAGCATAGAAATACAAAGGAACTTGTGCAAAATAAGGACGGTTGACCTGATCCTTGGCATATCTTCCAGATGTAATGACATTTAAAAAGGTTTGGAAGCTCAAATCACCTTTAAAATGCCTTAAAAGCCTAATGAGTCTTCCAGAAGTCCAAAGGTCTTTAAAGGCCAAAAGGTGTACTGGTTTACATATGTCTAAAATAACTTCCAAATTGATTACAGATGGCACAGAATCAAGGTCAATTTATCTTCCGTATGCTACAGAAAATCAATTGGTTTTCTAGCTGTCATGCGAGCCCAGATACAGTAGAAGGTCAAAGGGTCTGATACATTTCAGACAAGACTAAGGGGCTTACTAGATAACCTTAAAGTTAAAATGGATTTCTAGATGTAGTTAGTGGTAACAGGGTCTTTTAGACTGGTATCGTCTGCAACAGGTCTTTTTGGATGACATAGAATGTCTGGTTGCTGGATGTCATAGCAGGTCAAAAGAGCAAATAATTTTCGAATTGTTACAGAATGCTTCTACATGTCAAAGCACATATTGCTTTCTTGGTGACACTGAGGAATCAAAAGTCAACGAACCATTTATCTGTTATAAAATATCGAAGGGCTTTAGAAGCAACAGGCAGTCAGTTACCTAATAAATGCTTACTAGATACCCTTAAAGGTAAAATTGGTTTTCTAGATGTTGTTAAAGGTCGGAGGGTCTTTTAGACTGCCAAGGGTTTTTCTGGATGATCTGGAATATCTCAAGGCTACCCATAGAAGACAAGAGAACATCTATATGATATATAAGGTCATGATTTCCCAGATACCGGAGAAGGTCAAACCATTGTATAGATGCTTCACAAGAACAAAGGGATATCTACTCGTAATATGAGGATTTTATTGTGTTTGTCTTCGGCATATATGGTCAAAAATCCTTCTAGATCTCACGGCAGACGGTGAAAAAGTCTTCCAAAGGTCAAAGATAGTCAAAAGATCATCAATGCCTTTAGATGGACCCTTGACTCCATACAAGAACTATTAGACTTCCAGATTACATATAATAGTCTTTGTGACTTAAATTGCCTGTCTAGATTTTACTAAGGAATTAAGAGAAATTTTAATGGCTTGATTAGGAGGGCTTTGAATATTTTTGAAAGGATTTATTAAATAACCGAAGGTAGTCCATGAAAATAATTTCCTTAAAATATCAACGACTTTTAGTAAGGAAATAACTAAAATTTTTCTCTCAAAAATCGACTTTTTGTTTGGAAGATCCTTAAATATTCACGATTTTGGTTCAAAGGGCTTTTGTAAGAATATGTTGCTTAGTCATTGACAATATTTTCTTTAAACAAAATCCGCGATATTCAGTCGGAAGTTGTTTTTTAAATATTTTACGATTTTTATTCGGTGGCCTTTGACAACATTTCTTTCCTTGAAATCTTAAAATACCATTATTTGTAATCGAAAAATCATTGAAAGTGTTTTTCTTCAATAATGCTAGGAAAATGATTTTGAATTAAAAAAAGTTGTTTTCTTAAAAAATAACCGACATTTCGTCAGCAGGTCCTTGTTAAAATATTCCCAAAAAATTAATAATTGTTAATCTTTTAACATCCTAATACCTAAAAATTCATCTTAAAATTACACGATTCTTGCTCATGAAATCTTGGTAAAGACCTAGATTTATGGCCCGGAAATCTTCTTTTACCGTTAGAGAATTTATGGATTCCTGGCCTTTCAGATGCCTTATAAGTGTCTTATATAGACGGGCCCGAGTCACCAAAAAAATATGTCCTACAACGAGTCCTAGTGACTTGTAATGGCACTTGCTCAACATGGAGGTCACAAAAGATTAAAGAGAGACCTTACTGAAATAAATTCCGATCAAAGAGAATACAAGATACTACACTAGACAAAAGGGTCATTTATATGTCGTAAGAGGCCAATACGTTTATTAGATATCCTGCAAAGTCAGTTGAACTGCTGGATTATCTTCTAAATTGCATAAAAAAACTAAATTATGAGACATAAACGATCTCATATATCCCATTGAAACCCCAAATATTCTTTAAGATTTTAAATGGTATAATTCTCGAGAAATTACTGGTAAATCTGGACAAAATAAGTTAGGAATGTCAAAAATAAATTCCCCGTACCCCCACTTAACACACCACACAGCAAATTCCACCTCCAACCCACAAGAAAGCAAGGAAATGTATGGCGTGAAACGGAAAAGGAAATTAAGTGGATAAAAAGGAAAAACATTTTAAATTGAAGTGAAAACACGTGCTAAACAAAAACAAATATGCGGGGGACATTTTCAGGTTTTTGCCTTAAAAACTCTGACTCTACCCCATTTCCCATTTCGGGATCAATGTAAAGTCTTTTCTTGGATAAACATAAAATATTCATTTGACACTACAACAACAAAAGGTAGTAGACAAAATAAACAAACTGACAGAAAAAAAACGAAACTTACCTTCGGAATCACAGGAACCTTTGTTGGTGAAGAAAAGATTTACCAAACCTTGGCTATAATCCGTGACAGCCTTGTGATGTGAGTTGCAAAAGTCTAAAGTAAATACTTCTTTATCCCGTACAACCTGCGAATAAATTGGGGGGACAGAAAATCAACCACAAGAAATAAGAACGGTAGCAGAGGGAGAGAGAAAAAAACGCGGAATTGTTGCACCACCCCACTTTTTCCATGGCGAGAACCGAATTGAGTTCCACACAAATCCAATCATCAAACGAAACGAAAATGAACAGAAGAAAACTATGAAAATTTTTAACGTCTTCTTTTCATTTGTCGTCGTCGTCGCCGCCACTGTTGTGTGTTAAGCAAATTTCCAAAGTAAACATTGTTAAAATTCTTTCCTTGCCTTTTCACCTGCATCCCGGCATGGCAGCCTGACATTGGAAATGCTATTTTCGAAAAATCTGAATGTGTATGACCTGGCCAGGCAGGCCATGGCTGGAAATATGGGGTGGTGCAAAAGGAAAAAATTGCAAAAAATCGCCTTACTCACCTGAAGCTTGCCATCCTTGGCAAAGGAGGCCTTTTTTAAATTGTATCCGACATTTAGCTCATCATTCATTAGTTCGCAGGTCTGCTCATTGAAGTTGCACATGTGTGGCGGGCAAATAACATTGGTGGCCCATGTGAATTGGTAATGACAGTCAACGATTTCACGCAACTTCGGCACACCCTGAAAAAAAAACAAACATATAGAGGCGGCTGGTGAAAACAAAATCATCTAGAGAAGAGTAATGGGATTTTTTTTTGTTCAGATGGATCGCTGTGTTCCATGCTATGCCATGTCGGGCCATTCCATTTTTGTTTTATTTCAAAATGGATTAAATTTTCTGTTCACTCTTGGGATAATTTGTTGAATCACCAATGAATGAATGAATGCCACGAAGACATGTTTGTGTGTGTGTGTACGTATACATGTATGTGTGTTTGGTTTATGTGATAGTATAATATGGTCATATGTATATGTTTTGCAATCGTTAGCAGAATTTAAAATTAAAAACGAGTGCACAGTGTCAGAATATTCAATTCAATTCAAATGGGTGAAAATTGTCCAGTGCGACGTATGAGCAACGTGGCAATAATTAAGGAGTACCCATAAGTCAATCATACGCCATAGAATTCTATATACAAAGAGAAACACATCTGAAAGGAAAAACAGTAGAATGAAGATGTAAAAATGAATTGTGAAAATGGGTTATATATGCATGGGATATATATGTATATATCCTTGGTACAGGACCACAAAACGAAGATACTTCAATTCAATGTTTTGAAGATGGAATTGAAATGGAATAAAACATTGTGATTTTTTCATTATGAACAGAGAAGCATATCTCCAATCACAATTAAAATTTCATAGCAACTCAATGAAGTCTAAATTTTTCGACGTGATAGTTCATTTTGATCGCCCGGTACGAAGTTAGGGCGTTTATTTTTATAGTTCTATAATAGAAGGCGAAAAGGATTTCTGGATACCCTGGCAGGCGAAAGAGGCCTCCCAGATACACCATAGAATACAAAAAGTCCCTCGATTACATAAAAAACAAAATTGTCACATTAGGTCTTCTGCAAGCCATAAAGATCAGACGATCTTCCAGATGTCATAAACGAGCAAAGGACCTTGTAGAAGGCAGTAGATTATCTTGCCCGTTTTCATTTTAGACCTCAAAATACGAGTGAGACAAAAAAATGCAACAAAGTCAAACGCCATTTTTGTTTTTTCATAAATTTTATTGAATGAAAGCAAAAAATGTTGGAGATAGCATCAAGTTTTAGAATAAGTTTTTGACACGGTCTTCAAACGGTCAATAAAACCGTCACACGGTGCCCGAATGTTGTTCTGCGGTATTTTAGCTCATTCCCGGCGAAGCGCTTGCTTGAGGTGATCGACACTTTGGTAATTTTTAGTGCCAACCAACCTCCATAATACTCCAGACACAGTAGTCCAACGGATTGTTATTGGTGGCCATTGTGCGCTGGAAATGAAGCGAGGAATCTCATTTTGTAACCATTCTTAGATGACGCTGAGTGCGATGGTGCTGAGTCCTTTTGGAATGTCCAAGATCTGCGGCCAAAATGTTTGCGTGGCCAAGGCTTTAATACACCCTTTAGAATATTTTCGCGATACTAATACATAAAATAATTCGATCGGAGAGCGACCATCGGCTGTTATGGCGGCCCACACCATCACCATGCCGGCGCTTGAGTTCTGGTGGCTAAAGGAAGGTGCACATTTTCAGCAGACCTCTTTGGCAAGTAAACACGATCATTTTGTTTGTTTACAAACTGCTGGACAACGAATGTTTTCTCATCGGAGAAAAGCAAATTCGAGAGTTCACCACTTTTGGCCAAGCGAAGCAACTCTTTAGCTTTTTTAAGTCTATTTGCAGTGTAGGGTCTTGCACTTTTTGGAATTTCAATGGCTTTAACCCGAGCTCATTTTTCAATATTTGCCGAATGGAATATTGGGATATGTTCAGCTCACGAGTCATTTTTCGGCCACTGCGACGATTGTTTCGATCAAGTCGCTCCTTTACTTTTCGAACCATTTCTGCTGATGATGCGTTTTCTTCCGTCCACTTCGTTGGCGTCGGGCTACGCTACCAATACCTCGGTAACGAGCGATGGTACAAGACACAACAAATTTATTCACATTTAAATGCTAGAGTGATCTAATGATAGCCACTTTTGGTTTTCCAGCCAAATATAAAGAAATCACACTATCACGCTTGAATTCCATCACGAATAACTTTTTTTCTGGAAAATTCTCACCAAAATGCTTTTGTACGCTTGTAAACAATATAATGAGCTGTCACTGGAATAATATTAACAGCTGTCGGGCGAGTGGTTTTGCAATGAAGTTGGTATATACTTTTTTGATCAGAGTAAAATTCCAAGACAATTAGGCATGTCTATCCGTTAATCTAGAACCCAAATGACTTATGATAGGAAGCTAAAATTTTCGCCTACAGAAGATCGCCTAATAGGTACAAGATATATATACTACATACAATATTATTGATATAACCGACTGACTGAGAATCAACGCCCAGACAAAACGTATGAAGCTAGAATCTTGAAATTTAGCACGAGGGTCAGACTTGGAATGTGGGCGTGTTATAAGACTGAGTTTTTGGAAATTCGTACTAAAAAGGATCGAAAAGTACAAAAAATGTAATACTTTGTATTGGGAAAAGGGAATGAACTGGAATTCGGAGGGTTTTTGGAAATTCGAACTTTAATTTTACGAAAAGTCTAAAATGGTAATATTTGGTTTTAAGTGACTGATCTGAAACTTGAAATGTGGTATGGTGGTTTTGAAAATGTGTACTAAGTGAGCGAACTGTACTAATGTTTTACATTTGAAACATTTTGGTTTAATGTGAACGGATGAAGCTGAAATTATAAAAATTTGTATTGGGGTCCCTGTTGATAGTAGGCTTGTAATAAAGAAGTGGTTTTAGTAATATTTACTATAAGTGCACGGAATTTGGTGAACAGAAAGTGCTTGAAATCTGAAATTTGGTATTAGGATTGCTGTTCATGTGTAGCCTGGATATATGTAGATGCCTCCGGAAATGTGTACAATAATTGTTACGAAAAGTACTGAATGGTACTATATTTGGAATTGGAAGAATGCATAGAATTTAATATTTAGAATTTTGATGGCATCTCTGTTTGAGATTTGACGGCGGTTGGAAAATGCATTCTATATTTGTACGAAAAATTCGAATTATTACTTTATTTTATTGATGAAAAATTTGGTATAGAGATAGGGCTGAAACTATAAAATTTGATATTGAGTTATCTGTTGGTATCTGGTATTGAGATAAGGAGGAGGGTTTGAAAATGCTTTCTATAATTATACGAAAACTACTCAATTTTGGATTTGGAAAAGGAATAGTGCTGAAATCCTGAAATTTAATATAAATGTCCCCGTTGGCGTCTGTTGTTAAGATATGTAGATGGTTTTTGGATATGTAATAATTGCTCAAAAGTACTAAATAGTACTAAATTTTGTATTGGGTGAAGGGATAGGGATAGAATCCCGAATTGTGATATTCAGGTCTCTGTAGGTATCTGGTGTTGAGATACGAAGGCGGAATCTCGAAATTTGGTGTTGAGGTGTCTTTCAGTATCTGTAATTGAGATATGTTATTCGAATGGTACGAAATGATACTAAATTTTGTATTGGGTGAAGGAATAGGGCTGGAACCATCAAATTTGATATTGAGGTTTTTGTTGGTATCTGAAATTGAGGCATGAAGGTGGTTTTAGAAATGTGTACTATAATTGTACGAAAAATGTAAATAGCCCCAAATGTTGTCTTGAGTAGTGGGATAGCTCTGGAATTTTAAAATTGAGAACTGAGAGCTGGTTTTGGATATGCATACTATAATTGTACTAAATGGTACTAAATTTGGTAATGAGGGAAATTACCGAGCTGAAATCCTGAAATTTGATATTTAGGCCTGAAATTGAATTTTTAGATTACTGATGGTATCTGTGTTTAAGATTTGACGGTGGTTTGGAAATGCGTCATACATTTGTACGAACATTGCTAAATGGTACTCAATTCTGTAGTGGGTGAAGGGATAGGGATGGAATCCTCAAATTTGATATTGGGGTCTCGGTTGGTAATTGGAATTGCGATATTAAGGAGGTTTTTGAAATGTGTACTATAATTGTAATTGTTGTAATTTTTCGAAAAGTACTAAATGCTAATCATTTTGAATCAGAGTTGGTGTCTAGGATGAAGATGTGGATCCATTGTCCAATGGTTTTTCTAATATACATCCTTCTCGGTAAACTTCAAAATGAAATATTTTAAAGACTTCTAGGTGGGAAAAGTGCACATTTTCTATTATTTATTCAAAAAAGAAAAAACTTGAATTAAAATTTTGAGTACTAACACGAACAGTTGAAACGAATCTAAAATTATAAGGAGGACTTTTCGCTGACGAATTAGCGTGCAATTGAAAGTATTCTTATGCTCGTATATCATTGCTGGAGTTATTATTATCTCCTCCTGTCTTAAAATCTACTTAAACAACTCTAAGCCTAAGAGCTAATAGAAATTACCTTACAAAATGTGTTCTGGGAGTATTTCCCCTCAAAGATGGTCGCATGCACATTTCCCCAAGATAAGTGCAATCGATTGCCATAAATAATTTCGAATACCAATTATCATCCAATAATCTTGAATGGATGTCAACTCGTTATTAATAATTTCAAAGATAACATTTTGAATAACTCAACGTTCGAGTGTCCTTCAACGGGATCTCTCATTAAATCACTGTACCAATGTCACAATTACCACCGCATCAACCCCACAACCACTACCATCACAACCACCACTACTACAACTACTAAATAACCCAAATGTATGTTAATTAGTGCCAAGTGGTTTGTACGGTGCAGTGAAAAATGCGTATATTTCGCATTGATGAATAATTAATGACAAACATCTGGTGCGAGCAGGCAAACCGTCCGACAGTCAGTCAGTCCGCCGGAAAGAACAGCCCATGTCGAGAGCATGTAAGATTTTATCTGCACATTTTAAGTTGATGAATACAAGTCACACGTAATATCCAATTGGCAACCTTCACATACATACACACATACAAACGGAAAGCAAAAACAAAACTGCAAAAGACATTAACAAATGTAGAA